TGTGTGTGTGGGTGCGCGTGTTTGTGTGTGTGTTTGTGTGTGTGCGTGAGTGTGCGTGTGTGTGCGTGTGTGTGTGTGTGTGTGTGTGTATACGTCTGCCTGGATATTTCAACTCTGCACCCAAGCAAACTCCGGCGTCGAAATTTTGCCGGTGGGTTCCCGGGCCAAGTGCCACCCCAGGACCGCGGTACCAACCCTCACGCAACTCTGAGCCCCACGTACGAGAGGGTGAAAATCGCTAACTCGGGAACCATAAAAGCTAGAGAGATAAAATTTTGTGGTTGTATCCCCGTCCACAGAGAACTCAAAGCTTTCAAATTCAACCCCCAGGCGTGCGTAATTCCCACGTACAGCCCCGTGAGGGTTCCTGACACGAAAATCGCTAACTCAGGCACCAATAAAGCTGGAGGGCTGAAATTTTCACGGAATGTTCCCAACACAAGTGTACCTTAATTATCAAAGTCAAGTCATCAGTGTGTGTAGTACTCAAGTGCGGCCTCGTGAAAATTTTGGCGGAAAAACGGCTAACTCGGGAACCAGGAAAGCTGAGGGGATGATATTTACAGGGAATGTTGCCAGCACATATACAACAAAAATTTGTCAGATTCAGGCTCCAGGCATGCGTGGTTCTCCCCTTGAAATTTTTTGGCGAAAAAATGGCTAGCTCGGGAACCTGGAAAGCTTGGAGGCTGAAATTTTCAAGGAATGTTCCCAGCACATGTACAACTTAAAGTTATCGAATTCATGAGTGAGTGGTTCTCATGCAAGGCACCATGGAAATTTTTGGCGGGAAAACGGTTAATTCGGGAGCCGGAAAAGCAGGTAGGCTGAAATTTCCAGGGAATGTTCCCTGTTCAAATACAGCATAGGCAATTAATTTTTAGCTACTGGGTTTCCAGCTGATCTCATTACAGCACGAAACACTGCAATAACGCATGATCGCACGGGCCCGCCCCGGTGCGTGTTGTCAATGATTCAAAAAATTTTATTATATATTTATGTGACTTATGCTGACAGGTTCTTCGTAATGATCACTAGTTTCCATTTTCATTTCTGCACAAGGCAAGCAAATTCACAGATTTGCAAGAACCAGCCTCCCTTTCCCCCCCCCTCCCCCTCTCCCTCCGTCCTCCAGCGTTCATTTCGATAGCAAAGCAATCCTTGTTCCACTTGCTACAGTAAGATGATTATTGCGGGTGAGCAGGAAGCAGCAAACCGTTCAGGATGAAGCACCATAGCCAACCCCTTCCTATTCTCCCTCACCCATCGATTCACATACATCCAGAAATCAATCGCTCGCCCTCATTTCCCTACCCAAAAATTGCCTCCCACCCCTCCTCCCCCTGCCTGCGAACAATGCTAAAAAAGAATTATATAATTAGTAACAAGTAGTCAGTTGATTTTTATGCGTT